CCCACCACCACTGTCCGCAGTGATGACACGGCAACGGCAGCGCTTCACAAATTCATTTTGACTGTAAAATCTTGAACACCCAATGAACAAATAAAAATGTCATGCAAAACAATATAAGCGAAATTAAATTGTGTATAAAAGTTAAAGAAATTGAAACTAAACTCACATTGCGATACGCTTCACAATCTCTCAAATTTGGTTGCAATACCTTAACAACCTTATTGTTACTGTTGCTGCTGCCTGCTGCTGTTGCTGATCCAATCTAATTTCAAAGAAAATCCTTTTCTTCGCCAAATGAATGGTGACGAATGAAAATTGCAAACGTCAAGAATTGAGAACACGTAGAACGGTAATTCGTTTGCAATTCAACATCATCTCAAACAAATGAATTAGTTTACCCTCATCGTTCCGAATCTATCTGCTTGGCCATTCGTTGTTGCCATTCATTTAATTTCAATTTTCGTTCGTTCGGATACATTCGAGTGCAGTGTTGTTTACAATTTCATTTTGAAGCCATTTCATTATGATTTCATCATTTCACTTCAATTCTCGTATTTCCCTTATCATTCCCGTATGATACAAACATATCATATCAATGGACATCAAATGGATGAAGAAAGGCAGACAATTACATGAAAAGCTGCATAGAAGATGATGATGATGATGATAAAGAAAAATATGAATTTATTACCCTATATGTGCGATATGTACGCATCAAACTTGTACTGAATCCATTTTGAATGTGCGCGGGTGCAATTTGTTGATTGAGAATTTGGTATTCGAGAAAGAAATCAAGCGCAAAGAATTCATGACCTGATTTTTTGCTATCAGCTCTTGCTGCACACTGCACTTTTTTGTATCGTTTTGGGAAAATTAACAGAATTGCAGTTAGAAAAGTACTTTTTTTTCTGTGCAAACAAAAAACTTGAATAATGAATAAGCTGGGAAATGAAAGTAGTTCGAATGAAAGAAGCAATTAACATTTCTAGTAGTTATTGTACTCTTGTAAAATTGCACATCTTTGATATATTTACCGTGCCATAACAGCCAAAAATGTGTAAGAGACGAAAGCAACCGTGCATCCCATCATTTTCAAGCATTTCCACCGAATCGTTAAACGTGATGAATAGACAAGCAAAGATGATTTACTGAAATTCGAAAGTAGCGCCCACGTTGCATATGCACTGGTGTGGCACTTGGGAGGAATCACTTACTTAGAAATCTCAGGACAAGTTTTTTCCTCATATTTATCTCTCTCTCTCTCTTGCTCTCGCTCTGCTTTTATCTTTTATACTCGTCTCATTCCACCACAATCGTTCATAAAATTCGTCCAAAGTGTTGTCTTTTTGCACACCCAAAACCGAATAGATATGAAATTGACGTGCATGTGGTTGAGCGATTAAATTTTAGTGAGCTGTAAAGTCGATGCCAAAATTAAGAAAGATGTGTTCGGTTTGCCAATTTTCTACGACTGCATTTGCAACATGCAAAATGCAGTACACTTGCAATCATCTTGGCATCTTGAATCTGTTGATCCCCCCAGGGGCGAGACGAAATTCTCGAAAATATTATACATTGGTGTTTTGGACGTTTGGTCGCTTGCAATGCATCGTATGCAATTTTGAATGTGGCCGCAACTTATGCCATGCCATTTAATCAGCTCGCTATTTTCTGATTACACATTAAAACATGAGCACTTTACATGATATATCATTTACGTCTATCAAATATCTTTAACTTTAAACAATTACTAAAATCCACATTGAATTCACATGCAAAGCCATTTATCAAATTTCTTTAGATTTATTTCCTTGTGGAAATTAATGCGAACAATTAATTGTAAATGAATGAAATAAGAAGAAAAAAAAAGAGCGAAAGAAGTGAAAGAAGACGGGGAAAAAAAAGAGTCAGGCAGAAATCAGAAGCGCGCTGCTGTACAGTTCAACGAACGAACGAAAGAAAAATGAAATGAACAATGAGTGCAATACAATGGTTTTCACCGAATATGTAAAATTATTCACGATTGCTAGGAATGAAGAAATCGTTTGGTTGGAGTTAGCGGCGAGCCCGTACGTTTGAGCTCATGCTAAATTATGTATGAGCCGATAGAATGCGCGTTGCTTTTGCCTCGTGATGTTGGTTGGAAAGTAAACGACGACCGAACAATGTGATTTACGTTGTATATGCAACTGAAATTAAGTGGTGAAAATAAATCATGATTTTAGATGGCAAACTGATTCTATTCGCATTTAAAGTGCCTTCTAGTCTGTATTCTCTACTTGCTTTTTCTCACATCCTTGGCCGCGCTCTTAAAAACAATAAATTATTTTATAAAAATTTTTTTCGTTCCTTTTAAACACACACACAAAAAAAGAACTTTTGCAGAACGGAACTATGGCTTTTTATATGGTCATTTGTGTACATGTGCGCGCATTTTTTTCAGGTTATGCACACGATGTGTCCATTCGGGGTTTTCCGTGTGTCGTCATTGATTTCCTTTTAAATCCATCAAACAAAGCTACATGAAAATCCAAACAAGTAAATTTTCTGCCCAGATTATGTGTTTTTTTTTTGTTTTCGTGCGATTTGGACTGAATGTATGTTTCATTTGTATTCGTTCAGATTTGTGTGTGTGAAAGAAAAGTGACAGTTTGAATTGCATTTAAATGGACCGTAGTTTTATTTATATGCCTACTAAATCGGTACTAAATATGGTGAAATTAATTAATGTTCGTTTCATGTCCATAAAATGTCTATGTGGCTAAACATGGAATTACGATATGCATTTTATATGCTGGCCGTATTTCAATAATTTTGCCAAGTTTTTCATATTTAATAAATCATATTCATTAAGCCGCAATCACGCTAAGAGATTTGCCACTTGTGAAAATGTTCTCGATGGAAAGCGGCTGGTGAAATGAGAGAAAGCAGAAGAACAGTTATTGGAACAGAGCGAAGGGAAGAGGGAATGAGGAAGAGAGAGAATGGATCTTTGTCTTATGTGCATACAATGTTGCTAGCTAACTATTTATATCAGCTATTGCTACAGGTATATATAAATAGCTGCTATTTAACGCATCTCTTCGCTCGGACGGTGTGAATGCTGGACATATCAATGGTCTCATTGTTTGAAATTTTTAACGTTTTAAATCATTTCATAACAATGACACCATGCGTTAAATAGCAGCTATTTATATATCCCTTTAGCAATAGCTGATATAGATAGCTAGCTAGCAACATTTTATGCTTATGTGCGATGGTAAATGATAAAAGCCGGGACAGTGGTCCGGCAAAAGACAGACTCTCTGAAATTAATTTACCTCTTTCACAGAGCATATGATTTTGTATTAATTTATTTTCATGGTATAATCGTTGTCGCCCCGACTTTCAGCTTAGCGGCTTGACTCTCTGTTTTGCTTTGTGTGCTCCTTGTCTGTTACGCTGAAAAATCTGGAATTTTATATGCAAAATGAAATTCGAATAACGCATTGTTTATGCGAAGAATTTTTGTGATCCAAATTCGTTGTTCGCAGTCGAATTTTTTTCCCGTTTCATTTGAAGTTACATGAAAGACGATATATATATAGAACGCATAAGCGTTACAAATGGATTAATATCCCTGAAGAGCAACAACTTTTGCTTGCATAATTTATTCCAATTAATACCGTCGACAGTTTGCAACAATACATTCAATTAAATATGAAAAACGAGAATATTTATCTCACAAAAGCAGATAATAACGGAGCGATAATTTTGCAAGTATGCTCGCCGCCAAATTTGCTTCAATGCGCGCTCAATATATCCCTCTATCTCCGCCAAATCGGCGTGTAATTGTTGCCGTTAAACATTAATCGTACCAGAATTCGATGCTGATTATGGGATTTGAGCTTATTTTGCCAGCGAGAGAGAGAGAGAGAATTTGATACAGTTTTCAAAGCTATTTCACATTTTGTATGATGTCGTAACCGTATAAAATTGGATCGAGAGTGCGAAGGTTTATGCAATGAAATGTTCAAGTAATTACGAATTTCTAGAGAACAACATGAAGTATATGTTTAATTAAATAAAACGAAATGCATATCGATTGACGCTCTCTCATGCCCCGCCCGATCATTTCATCTTATTTCCATTGAAACGCTCTGTTGTTTTCAATTTGTTGTGATTTGCTCTGCGTGTGTTTGGTAATTTGTAAAATCAAAGTCAAACTGAACAACAAATGTATGTGTGTGTCTGTGTTGGTGTGTACATATTTGCATTTACGTAACAGTAGACATCGATGGGGTAATCTTCGACGACAAAACATCGATTTTCAAGAAATTGAAAGACGAACTAAAGGAAATAGTCTGCACAAAGTCACAAATAGAAAAGAAAAACGACAACGACTGCATTTCTATTTCCTGCAGCAAATAGTTTTTAATGCTATAATATCACATCATATATCAAGATTATTTGAATCAAAATCCACATATACACATACACGCTGTCAGGCATAGAAATCTTCGTTTTTCCGCTTGTTTTTTTTTTTTTTTTGGTATGAACGTAATATATGCGATTATGGTTTGAACGTTTTGCCAAAAGTATAGAAAAAAAGATATCTTTGACAATTCTTTTTCTCTCTCGACTACTCTACGATGTATAAAATTTTCGTTTAAATTCATATCAATAAAATGTGCTCAAGAAATTTCCGTTGAAGCACACTAGCGAAAAAGAAACAAGATAGAGCAAAAGCAAAATAGGAAGTAGAATAAACGAAACGAAATTCAAATACAAATCGTTTATATTTTGCCCAAAAATATAGATATACAGAGAATGAAGTAAACGATATATTTCTCGATATTTGATATTGTATTAATGTTAACAATTTATTATGTGCTATGTTGGTTCTTCCTTGAGGTTGCATGAAATGCGTTTGGAAAATCGATTTTTTTTAAATATATAAATGAAAAAATATGGATACATTTTCATCATTACCTTTATTATTATTATTTTTCTATTTGCAGATAAGCAGAGACGAACGCATTGATATTCAGTGAAAAACTACAAATCGTTGCAACTGAAAAATTTGGCCATTTGGAAAATAGAAGATAAACACTAAAAATCGAAGTGAATATTACGTTTCTCAGTTCATGTGTGCTAATACGATATAAGCGAGTAATACAAAAGACAACTACGAACACCAGTTCGAAAGAAGCAACAGTCAGAAGAAATTAAATCCAAAGAAATTCATTTGATGAGCGCATCTATCAATTTAAATCGATATTCATCACAAATTTCATCTCACACCATGTATTCTCGAAACCTTCACTCGCAACGAGCACCGTGGTTGCTTTGGGCGCTTGTGATATTTGCTGTTGAGCTTGAGATCGGTAAGTACAGTTTTATTTCCCTTTTATATACAATATATTTTCTGTCGTTAGTAACTATTAAGTTATGATAACAGGAAATACCATGAAAGTTGTACCGAGAGCATCTTCCACAATGGGTGAGAAGAGTGTGCATGGACGAACAAAAAATGAACAACTTTATATATATATTTAAATTGGAATCTTCCTTTTTTGCTGTGAATCAAATAAAATCGAAAAAAATATGGTTTTCTTTTGCGAGAACAGAATAGTCATCATCAACTCTTTAGGTTTAAGTACATGGTTATGGTTGAAATGGTACGCTAAACGCATTTATTTCAAGTGGAAGTCTCCATACAAGAGTCAGTATTTATTTCTCCCTGCTTGCGTTGCTTAAAATAAAATCACGTGTTTCATTCACGTGACCAACAAGCGCGCATTTCGGGAGTTTTCTTTTTTTGTTGATGTCAAAATTATAGGTTTGCTAATGAGAAGTTCGATGCGATGAAATCACATTTACCAAAATCAATCGAACGTAGCATTTAAAGTCAATTATTTGAATGCAGCGAGTATGTCTCGTGTTACAAGCCAAATGCTTGCAATGGTTTTTTTCTCTCATCCATAGCATATATGTAGTGTAGATGCGTTACGAAGAGAGTTATGTTTGTTTGGTTGAACTTTAACCACAGCATACTCAGGAAAATCCATCAATGTTTTTGTTTGTCGTTTACATTTCATTTGTTTTGTTGCAAAAACTCATAATCCGCAGCAAATTCAGAGATTGCCTTTTCGAATTATGCAATTCAATTTTGGTTTGTACATTTATATTTATGTTGCAAAATTCAAATATGCAAATTGGACTTAGTAAATCTGTAGTCAGTTTGACCAATGCATATTGGACAAACGAGCTAGCTAGCGACAGAGAGAGAGAGAGAGAGAGAGAGAGAGAGAGGGAATGAGAAGGAGAGAAAGAGTGAGCAGTGACAGTGACATTTCAATTTAAATGTGATATATGAACACACTGAGCAATGCACTTACGGCTTTGAAATTCTCGTTTCGAAAATTATAAAACCGAAAATGAATGCGAGTTTAAGCTCCACACGTGTTCGTTTACTTATACAGATTCCGATTTGTATGATGGTTCAAAACACGTGTACATCTCAGTGATAACAGCGTTTTATGCACAATAACAGGCAGTGGCAAGATTGTTTCTTTTTTTAAGTTTTTGTTTCGGTTGGCATTTTTCATTGTTCTGAAGTTCGCGCTTTCATTGTTGCTACATTTTGATGAAAAGAAGAAATGAATAGAAAAAAATCATACGAGAAAGAATTTTAACTATGTTTTTTTTCCCCGAAATGTTTACTACTATAAAAACCATGCCAATTATGGAATAGAACTTTTGAAGGGGCTAATGCTCAATGCCAATTCAAGCATGCAAAGGAACCACTGTGCTCATTTATCTCTATTGCAACTTCTTCTTCTCCATACAGTTTATTTATCCGATTACTTGCATGTACGGCTTATGCATATCAGCGCAATCATATTGATTGATTTCATAAATTAGCTACCAAACTTTCCAATTCAGCTGCTAAATTTTCAAGATATCTTCGGAATTATGATGAAGCGTATATAAAGTACAGTGCACACATACACATAAAAGAGATAAAATATTTTCCATTGAACATGGTAATTGAAAATCATCGTGTTGCAAATTCACCTAGGATGCAAACAAATATTTCGAAGTGCTCGCACATAATTTGAGAGTGTATTGAATGGAAAATGGAGAAAAGGAGACCCAGAGCGAGAGAGAGAGAGAGAGAGAGAGCGGGTCAATCAAGATTTGTTTTGTGTGCTCGAATACAATTACACAAACGGTTTTGTATTCAAATGTCACGTGCAACGACCAAACGTTCAAATGGCCTGTACGCAACATTTCAGATTGGTCCGAAATCCTGTCGATTATTAAGCAAAAGCAAAATACTCACTCACTCCGTCTCCCTCCCCCCTCCCCCTTATCTCAGATACACGTATTGTATGTTGCGTACACAATAATTCGGATAAAATAGGAACGCACGAACTCATCACACATACACTCTACACACATAAAAGCGACACAAAAAAAATTCATCCAAAATGACTGTTAGTCGACCTTAGATCTCACATTTCGATTAACCCTTCTTTTTAAATTGTTTTCAGTCCATAATCGGTTGACTTGAATTTAATAGAAACCATTTTCGATGTGCATTTGTGTACGGCAGACCCAGGTCGATTGCTGTACAAATCCATTTTTGAGGCTCCATTCTATCTAAATTATTGTGCGCTCAAATTGAATACAATGCATACACACACCCAAGCACATACATTTCTGAATGGGCAGGCGAACAAGAAATCGGACGCACGCAATACAAGACTCGCATTACGCGCGCTTTCATCCAATGCTTCGTGATTCAAGAGATTTGACGATTGTGAGACGTGTTTATTCACAATTTCGATTGATGGTTGTTTTATACCTCAGTGTTATCTCCATTGTGTTTGCTCCATTGAATTCAATAATTCGGTTGAGCGAAAATGGAAGGCGAGAGTGAGAGAGCGAAAGAGAAAAAAGAAGAAAAAAATGTCTTGCAATGTGTTCAATGTTCAGTATCTTCAAAAATGGATTTCTATGGGTTCGAAATGTTGTGCTGCTCGTTGTGTCACCACGTCCATCGGCAATAATACATTTATATTGTGTGTATATGGAATGAGCCTTTTTTTATGCATCTTCCTGATTGTTTTTAGCAGATTTTCTAGGTTGATAGTTTTCCATTGTTGGTATTGTTGTTCAACCGCAACCAAAAATCCCTCGAATAAAATTATATATGTCGTTCATAATTGCGTTTGAAAAAAAAAAACCGAAATCGACTTCTTCTTTTTATCATGCCAATCTCTTCAATTTTATGTTTTAGACATCCTTTCTATGGTTTCCATGCAATCATTCGAGATAATCATCAGCGGAAAATTGAATCCATTTGATGTTTGATGAAATTTATAAAATTAAAAATAATAAAATCATACATCTTTTGTTTGAATATTGAATGTACGATGCAATGCATGGTAAATCAACTCACAAAATAGAATAATAATATGCATTTGGCACATCAAACAAATCCATGTCAATTCAATTTATCCCAATAAGCGAGCGCATATTGTCGGCTCATTGGTTTTCTGGACGCGCAATCCATAATAAATAAATATGAACATAATATGGCGTCAGTATATGTGATTGCTTCATCAAGGCCAAAATACGCAGGAAATAAACCAAAAATCGGTTTCACATTTTGGCAACGTATTTTGCCCTGAAGCCGGGCTCACGAAATCAAGATACACATTAAATACTCATGCAATACAATTGTATTAAATCATATGAGGCATAAAACTCAATAAAAATCAATTCATATGGTTTGAAACGATAACAATTCGACGAAAAACAAATTGTAACCTATACCCAATTGAAGGATCGGGGCCGAAAATCGAAACTCAATCACAGTGAAATGAAAGCCAGCACCACATTGCATTCACCACATACATATACAAACGAATTGGCCGTTTCGATTACCACCAAATCAAGCAACAAAATCAAAATGACACAAGCGTCTGATGTGTGTGTGTGTGTGTCATTTTTTGGTCAAAAATATTTTTGTCTCCATCGAACGAGAACAAAAAAAATCGAGCAAAAATGAAAATGAATTCCTTGTCACTGGTAAATGCGGCAGAAAATTGTCAGTTGAGCCGCATAGTTTACTTCAGTTACATTGAACAACGAAATGCATGGTTCACCATACATTTTTGTCGATTTTTCTCTGTAAATAAATGTCCATTCTGATCAAATGTTTCTATTGTTTCGCTTGGTTTGCCTTGCAGAAATGCTTAGTCAGTAGTTTCTTTTTTTGGCTAATTGTTTGTTTTTGTTATGTTATTTTCAGACCATTTTGAAGTGGTGGGCTGATTTCTCTGCTTAATTAGTTCGATCATTTTTATGCAAATGGCTCATATGTCGAATATAAATTAGAAATATTTTCTATGTGACCGATTTTCAAATTATCTAGTTCATACACTTTTCACGGGAAGAAACGATACTGAATCGAAAGGTTTGCCATGAATTTGAGTGGCATTCTAAATGCTTAAATAGTTGAATAGCCGAAGTATTCAATGTATGCCAGTGCCTGGATACCCCGCTATTGAATGTTTTATTTGTTTATGTGACAGGTAATCATCGATACAAAACAATATGCCATTTGGTTATCTTTTATATTCATAAATGCGATGACAAGACAATAAACTGTCTTAAATTTTACATTGGCTTATCGCTATGCGCCCGAATAACTATACATCGACTCGACTATATACTTATGTTCATGCGATTACTCAATAATTTTAATAATGATACAAACAGGCAAACAATTGATTGGTCATTTGGTTCTGTTGTATTTGAACTGAAATTAGTTGAATTTTCTGTGGGGGCCGCACGACAAACGGTATGCAAACCACTAAATTGATTCGGTATTGTATAACAATATTCGGTATTGATCAAGCGGAAAATCACAACAGTCATTTCGGAAAATGAAATTAATATTGAACGTAGTCAAGTATCAGATTGTCCGTTGTATTTTTTTTTTCTTCCGTTTTTCCATCGAACAAGTTCAAAACACATTTAACTCGCTACTGCTACGGGGGCTCTTTTTTCCATTCAACTGTTAGTCGTTTTTTTTTCTCTTGTTTTAAGCAAAGTTCCAACACAATCTCTGAGGTAAGCGGATAGTGTCCAACAAATCGAATTTTATATGCAATATGGAAATATACGGCTATAGCTCATGTGAACGCTGTAGAATGAATAGAATGTTACACATGACTATGCATGCGATTCGCACATGTTATTTCCTCAATTTTTTTTTGTATATGTAAATCAGAAAATCAGACATTTCGTCGAGTGAATTTGGAATTTTAACAAAAAAAAAAAAACACACACGTAACACACAACAATGGAT